GCCGAGCAGGGAGCCCGATGCGGGACTCGATCCCGGGACTCCAGGATCATGACCTGAGCCAAAGACAGTCGCTTAACCAACTGAGCCACCCAGGCGCCCTGTAAGACCATCTTATAGTTTAGGCGAGGCAAACCCCATTTTTCATGTACTAAAAAGGTTTATTCTTAACCCCAGATAGAACTGGCGTCCATTTAAGTCTGTCTTCTGGCCTCCAGAAGGATTATATTCCTGCCTGGAAAGATAGTCATCAAATCCTTTTCTTCAGAACTGCCTGTGAAATACAATGTAGCATATAAAAAGCACTGCCTTGTATCCTGAGATTTCAAAAAAGGAAGCAGCTTTGGGATTTTTTTTTTTTTTAATTCATGTAAATGTGGCTGTTAAGATCTGTCAGCCACTGTTGTCAGTAGATTTCAGTGAAATCTCTGAACCCTGCGCAAGGGTGTAAGAAAACTGGTAGGAGGTGGCAAACTCAAAATGATAAAAAGTCTGAACATTCTGAAGTTCTGATGATTTTCATTTCAAGACCGTATTCACATCTCCTCCGAGCACTGTAGTTTGGATTTGGAGGTGATCTAAGTCTTATAGAAACTCAAATATATTAGTACATATGGATTAATGGGTTACTCCTATGTAACAGATTTATTTTTTTACATTTTTAAATGTACTCTTTGGATCTGAGACAAAAGATCGCAAAATGTCTTTAAAAACATTAAAAACTAACTCTCCAGAAATAAACAGATGAGATTTTGTGATTTCAAGTTTTTCCGTAACATGTATGTGCTGAAAATAATAATACAGCTTAAGATCTATACTCATCACCCTAGAAATACAAAGAGCCAAGAAGAATCCAGCTTTCGTTTTACTTATAACCGGAGCTGCCAGAGAAGTGTCTGGAACGGTACCACGCCAGACACCACAGTACTGCCTGGCCCACAGGTGCACACCTCTCCTGGCTCCTCACTGACCCCCTGGGGGGCCTGAAAGAAGCTATGGTGAAAGGATGTGCCCCATGGAAACAGACCTGGGCATCCCCCCGCCCCCACCAGAGTTGGCGGGGAACCATTTACCAGCACACTGCTGTAACAGGCGGAGAGGTGAGCGGCCGAGGAGTTACACAGGAACTTAACAACATCAATGCTCAGGAGGTAATTTGATAAGTTACAGTCTATCGGTACAAAATAATACTCCATGGCCATTTAGCACCACTGTCTTGAAAAAAACAAACAGGAGAAAATGCTCACAAGACATTATGTGGAGAAAGGTTACTACACAATTCACAAAGTGCACTCCCTACCTTTTTTTTCTTTGAAGGAAGCAGACTTGGAGAATAAATAAAAAAAATTATTAAAAGTAGTTATTCCTACTGGTAAGATTACAGTTACATACTACATATTTTTCTATATTCGAGGTATATTACTTTAACAACAAAAAATTCCTATTGAAAGGCAAAACGACTGAGAGGAGTTTCTATATAGACACTTACTCGACAAAAAAAACTTGTCCATTCTCATCGGTTTCTTGTTCCCATCCATACGGCAAATCTGAAACACAGGAAGACTGGCAGGTCTGCGTGCGGCAGGGGTGGGGTAAACGGAGGCCCAGGGCCCCGGTCAGAAGGCTCCACGCCCTTCCAGCCCCCGCCCCGAAGCCTATCCCACCAACCAGCAGCCTCACTGGGCCACCTCAGGTTGTGTGTACCAACTGTGGCCGTTATAAAAAGCCCATGAGAAATCACCCTCACCATTCCACCCCACTCTCATCGCCTCCTTCTGCCACATCCCGTGAGCTCCTCCGAGAGAGAGCCTGATTCCTTGATGGCTCCCTCCTAGAGAACCTTCCAGGAATGACAGAGCAGCCTGTCACCTGATTGTGACAGTTTTGCTATCTATTCATGCTTTAAATACAAGGTTATTTGGTTTATGACAACAACATACAAACCTCCTGCTATTCGTTTTCTTTTTCCGGTTTTCGGATGTTCCCACTGGGTCTTCTCCTCAGCGTGACTGTTAAAAAAAAAAAAAGCTAAAACTCCACAAAAAAATAGTAAGTGAAGGTTACACTTCTAAAAATTAATCAACTGCACTGTGCCGCCCCCCTCACCAACAACACTATTTCCCAAGAGTAGTAAAGCCAGAGTTCAGAAAAGAAATACTCAGAACATAAATGCTACTGTCTACATCAGGTCCAATTCCCTGCACGGGAAGGAGAAGCAGCCCAAGGAAATCTGAAAGCCTGTCTTTGTGAGCAGGCTGTGGAGGATGAGGAAGAGAAGCAGACTGGAACCCCAGTTGTGGGTCAACTTTAGGAACCTTAGTGAATCACTCAGAGTATCTAGAGGGGTTTTGCATTTGTTTTAGTTTTATCCCAGGACAGATGAACAGACTTCAGTCTAATTTATGATGCTGATATTTAGATATCATTTAGATATATTAATCTTAAGTATTTATTCTTTCCACAGATAAAACTTTGAAGTGTTTTAAGCACCGACTCCTAACTGCTCCCAAGAGGTATTTAAGAATGCAGTTAGAAAGCCCCAAAGGTCACCTAACTGCAACCTAGCCAAGTTACTCAACTTTGGTGCCTCAATTTACCTGTCTGCAAAATGGAAATGATCCTAGAACTGATCTCAAGGAAATGCTATGAGGATAAGGTATATCAAGGACTGAACACAGTACATGACATATAAAAAGCCCTCAAAAGTGCTACCTATTATAAACAAATCAAATATATAAACTAGTCCTATCTCTGTGTAAAATTTAGCATTTTATCTAACAGCACACAAAGTTACAATTAAAATCGTGAGCCAATAACAGACTAGAGGTACCGTCAACAGGTGATAAAATATCAAGAAAAACAAAATTACTTCAACAGAGAAGCAGCTGGATGTTGCAAGAGGCATTCCCAGGGGAGGCTGAATTTCCTAAGTTCACATACTCATGCCAAAGTAGAAAATAATAATCACTGATATCTAGATGATAAAATCTGAATATGCCTTCCCTACCAATTACTTTAAAGAGAACATATATAGAGAGCATGAATCTGCTGTAAAATTTTACACAAGGCAAACAAGGTTTTTTGGGGAACTGTGGGCTTCAGGTCTGTTTCTGCAAACTCTCAGTGGTGGGTGCAGCAGCTCTGTGGACACTGGACTCAGGAGGCCAAAGACTTGGGCTCCCGAATACCTGTAATCAGTCAGCCAGTCTCCCTGGCCCCACACCCACCTCACAGAGCTGTTGGAAAGGTAAGTGACACCCTACTTATGACAGTGATTGGCGAACAATGAAGTCACTGTACAAAGGCAGGGTATCAGCAGCCCGGACCAACGTCTACTTGTACATCGACCACCATGAAATCCTGCTCGCAGAAAGGGAGAGCCTGAGTCCCTGGTAAGGACAAGCTGCTCCTCATGGACACAACCCCTGCTTCTCCTTGCAAACTGAAGGGAACAGCGAGCAAACCAGACGCTGGCAAAGACCTACACCATTCCTGCTCTTTGCTTTGCTTTCCTCCTCACGCTTCTTCAAGAAAACTTTACAGATGTGATTTTACATTTTCCTCTGCCTGGTGTTAAAAGTAGTTTGCAACCCACAGGCAGGCATCAAATGAGCTTTGAGTCAAGCTCCAAAAAGACCTGCCCTCAAGAATCCATAAAGTGCCCCTGTGAGTGGAACGCTGACCCCTACAGCAGACCAGCATCCAGCTGAACCCTCAGACACCCAGCCCTGTGCCTGGCCCGAGGAGTCACCCAAATGTAAACGGGCAGCATGAATAAATGCTTTCCAAAGGAGTAGGAAAACTCACTGAGAACATTTTTTTTTCCATCCTGAGAGACATTTTAAAAAAAACAAGATAAACATTGTCACCCCCATGTTTTTTACTTTGACAGAAAATGCCTAAGTCAAGGTTTCTTACCACTGGCAGTCCTGACATTTAAGCCACATCATTCTCTGCTGTGGGGGCTGTCCTGTGCACTGAAGGACGATTAGCTGCATCCCCCATCTCTACCTACTAGATGCCAATATACCATAGTTGTGGCAACAGAAAGTGTCTCCAGACATCTCCAACTGTCCCCTGAAGGACACAGTGTCCCTGGGGGAGAACCCCAGGCCTGACACAAGAGAAAAGAACATAATTTGGCAGTGAGGATTTCAGAGTCCAAATGCTCATGAGTTCCAGCTCTCCCACTCACCAGCTATGTGCCCTTAAAGAGGTGTTTGACCTCCCTGTGCCTCAGTTTCCCCATCTGTAAAATGGGGATAATAGAAGCATCTGCTCCTTGGGGCTAATGAGGACCCAATGAGTTAACATGTGTGAAGAACTAAGAACTATGCCTTTCATACAGAAGCATTAATTTAAATAAATACTTACATATAAAACAATTAGAAAGTGTTCTTAATTGTAACCTAAAATGACTTAATGAACAGAAAATCACGACATATGTCCCCAAAGTGTTATCTTCCTCTCCTTTAAACAGAAGCCCTCTTCTATTTTTCCTTCTTCAATAAGCTTTTCGTCATTTAAAAAGATAATTAACAGGGATCTTAACTTAAACCAAAAGGATCAAAATTAAATTCATACCACATTACATGGATATCACTTTCAAGTATGCTGTTCTAGAAATTTGTTTTCGAAGTTAACTTGGAGACAGAGATCTGACTGTGAGGAGGGCCGGCCCCGTGGACCAGGGAACCATCTCCCGACCAGACAAGGCCGGCTGGCTCTCTGGCTGCCAAGACGCCAGGGCTTCAGAAGGAAAGCAGCTGGGGGTGGAGGGCCCAGGAAGGCCCAGGAAGGCCCAGCGACAGGCCCAGGCACTGAGACCTTGTCCTTCCATCCCCACCTCCTGGCTTGGGCAGAAGGGCTGCCCTGGACCGTGCCAAAGAGGGGGGAAAGGCCCACCAGCTCTCTCTGGAGCCAGGTCTGCCCTCAGTGGCAGGACGGTTCTCTCCCTGAAAGCCCAGCCTGGGGGGCCCTGGAGCCATAGGACATGTGTGCTCCTGAGGTCTGTGAGTGCACCACGGGACGCATGGGAAAGCACAAGGGGCCAAAAGAAGCCACACAACAGGAGAGGGGCAAAGGCATGAGTCGGGGTTCAATGCTCATGAGGGGGCTACAGCCTCTGTCCTTGGGGGTGGCTTTGCTGTGGTTGAGAGGAAGACCACTGGAAAACAGGAACTACTCAGAGGGCAGACTTCTTTTAGCCCATTAACAGTTTCCCAAACCCCAAGAGAGGACAAGTGACCCTTCCAGAGTTAAGAGAAAAGAAAGACCAGGATGCTTGCAGGTCAGGAGAGATCAAGGGGGACTGCAGGGAATTAGGGTTAGGATTGGTCAGAGGCATCCTTCCACCTGGAGAGCTAAAGCACCGAGGGCCAGGGGGGACTAGAGAGAGGGACCCCCAGCTGGGCCCAGCCAAAACTTGTCACTACATTCAGTGTAAACAAGAGACCCAGACAGGCCAGTTTGAGACCCAACACTGGGGAGGCAGGAGAGCCTTTTCAGGGACCATATATGCACCACTGAATGCCCTGGAAGCACTCGGAGGAGCTGAATGGGGTGTGCAGATCTTATTTAGTGAAAGAAGAGCCCAGACACTGGACGCCATCGAGGAAGGAAGCAGATGGGAAAGGCCACCCAACATAAGGTAGGACACAAGGGGAAGAGACAGGGTAACACCAAACTTGAAAGGAAGCCAAGGAGCCTAGGCTAAATGGCCAGAACGAAGGTAAGCCCCACACAAAGCAGGAGGCCAAGGAGGGCTCTTACAGCCAGGATGGCAGTCCTGTGCACCTTTGCATTCCAGGGCCCAGTATGCCACCTGCTCAGGGAGGCCCGAGGAACCCTTCACTGGAGAAATTAATTCACTCATCCCACACGGACTTATGTCTCCCAGGTGCTAAGCACAGGGGATTCAGAGGGTAACAAGAAAAGGTCCCTGCCCTCATGAAGCTTACAATCTGGGGGAGGAAGACAGAGCACAAACAAGGAGAGTATGGCTAAGATGACTACAGAAAAGGCCAAGTGCCATGACTCAGATAACGAGATGCTGGGAGGAGGGTGTAGGGGTCAGGGATAAGAGGAAAGTCTCCTGGGCAGTGGCATTTAAGTTCAGCTCTGGGGGATGACAAAGCCCTTCACATAGCTCTCCAGGCACATAGATCTCCAGGCAGAGGTAACAGGGAGTGTGTGCTCAGAAGCTGCCTAGAGCCTGACAAGAGCCTAACAGCTCCCTACTGCTAGACTTGCCCCTACCATTCTCCAGAGCCAGAAACCACCTTTTGAAAGACATAAATCCGATGGTACTCCCTGGCTCCAAGCCTTCAGTGGACCCCCGGGTCCTGACGATGGAGCCCCAGCTCTTCCATGAGGCACAGAAGGGCCTCCATACACTGGGGTCTTCCTCTGCTGCCTCAATCTTCCCGTCCCTGCACCAGCACATGGGCCATATAGAGGCCTCCACTCTGTCTCCTCAGCCTGGGCTGCCCTCCTGACCCTGAACATGCCCACCTCTACTTGTGCTGAGGCCCAGCTCAGGTGCTGACTCTCCCCAAGCACCCGAGGTGCCCACACACGCCTCATGTTAGCAGGCTACTGCTCACTATCCACACGCTGCACTGAACTAGCCTTGTGTCACTCTGCCATACAAGATTGGGTGACAAGTGGGTCTTATTTATCTCAGTATAACCAGTGCCCAGCAAAGAGCCTGGCATGTGATAAAACCCCAATATGTCTTGAATGAATTAAACTCACCAAGGTCTGTCTTTCTTTTTTCTTTTTTTTTTCCCCCTGGTTTTGTTTCTACCAAGCAACCCAAGACAGCAGTGGCTCACAACCCTGGATAGATAAGAATCTCCTGGGGAGATTTTACAACATACCAATGAAGGTGGGAAGGACCCAAACCAGTTAAATGAGAATCTCTGGAGGAGCAACCAAGGAAAAGCTATTTTCTAAGTTCTCCAGATGTTGAAAATCACTAATTTACAACGACGTTTCACAAAGCCAAATGATAACCTGCCTTACAGGGAAAGCTTATAAAATACAGATTCCCTACGCCGGGTGTCTGCTGCATAAGGGTCTCTGAAACCTGTATTTAGGACCATCGACAGGTGATTCTAATGAGGCTTAGGCGGTGCTGTCACAGCTGCAGAGAGAGCAGGAAAAGCTAAGTTATGGCGCTGAGTACTTATTAGATCTGTGCTAAGTGTTTAATGTACAGTGCTTGAATTAAAATTCTGTCAACCCATTTTACAGGTGAAAAATCGGTGACTGAGAGTTCTTGCAATGGCCCAAAGTCGCACAGTAAGGGAAGGGAGACAGAGTCTGCCAGGGTTTCCAAAACTTTGCCAGAAACTATTGGAGTTCTATTACATATACAAATGTATATATACATAACTATATTAGGACACTTATTAAAAAATACATTCTCCTAGGTCCCCGCTCCAGACCCACGAGGAGAGAGCTGGGCACTGGCCTTTTTTTTTCCTGATTTTTTTTTGGATGAGGGAGTAAAGGCCTGCTGGCCACCATGGCACCGTGCAGCGCCGCCTCCTGAGCAGCAGAGGGCGCGTCTGGGCGCTGCCAGGTGACCCCCGCTGGACCCAGGGCCCAGAAAGGCAGCCGACCCCAACTCGGGACCGTGGGAGCCTCCCTGAGGAAGCTCCTTAACCATCGCCTCCACTTCGCGCGGCCTCGCCAAGCTGGAGCGCCGGCCCGAGCCCCTCCGCGCGCAGGTGGCATTCCAGGCAGCGCAGGGTCCCGGGAACGTGAGGCCGTCAGTGTTCCAGGTGCGGCCCCCTCCAGGTGCGTCCCAGGCCCGGAGGCCCCCCTGCGGCCCCTTACTTGGCATAGTAAACCCAGCCGTCCTTGGTGGTTCTCTGCTCCCAGCCCGGGGGCAGCTCGTCCTCGCTGTCCGTATCGTCCAAGCCAGCGTAGCGCAGGGCTGCCATAACGGCAGGGAAGGCGCTCAGTCACCCACTCTCTCGGTCGCCCGCTGCCAGGTTTCCGCGCCCAGGAACTCAGCCCCGCTTCAACCGAGCGCCGCGCGCGGCGAGACCCAAACGCTCGCGCCTGCGCACTGCGCCGCCCCGAGCCGCTCAGACGACTTGGTAGCTAGAATCAGGTCTCCCGCGTTTCGCTGCTGCCGGCGTAAAAGGGGCGGGGCCTGGGACGAACGGCGGTGAAAGCTCGGGAGAGATCGCACGGCCGCTCGGCTGGAAGTAAAAGCCGGTGGACGCTCCGTTACTCTGGAGATGGAGCTGAGCTACGTCCACCTCCCGGCCTCAGGGAACGGGCGTGGGCCTCCAGTCATGGTCCAGGACTCCTCCCGTTGCCGAGCGACCCGTAATTACTTCCGCGTTGTTCTGACCAATCCTGCTGGAGCTCCAGCAAATGAGCATCCTGGGAAATGTAGGCCAGGCCCAGCGGGAATGGACACCGGAGCTGAAAGGAGGGATGCGGATGCTGGTTTTCAGGGCTCTGGCCTCTCCGGCTTTTAGGACATTATGAAGCTTAGATGTTCCTGCTCAGAAACCTTCCAGAGCTTCCCATCACCCAGGCTGACTCACACACTTTGTTGTGCATGTAACCATAACGTTATAAAACGTGGGAACTTTAAAAATGCAAAATGTAAAAATCCCGAAACTTCTAACAACCCCGTCTTGGAGAGAAGATGCTCCCAGGCGCAGGATGATCCTGTTGATAAATAAAGGGCTTTTATTTATCAACATTTATAGACCGATTAATTCCGGATCAAGAATTCATAGACTATTCTCTTTCCTGGACCCGACACCTCCCAGAGGTGGGCACAGTTAGAAGGAAGGAGAGCAGGGAACTAACTGCAGTTGAGACGGTATTGCTATACTACAATTATCTGTTTATCTGCGTACTCCTGACCAAACTGACAGAGCACCACATCTTATGCTTCTTTCTATCGCAAGCACTTAGTAAAATGGCTAGACCTGCAAATTTATTGAATGAAATAAATTAATGAATCAATGCGATTTCGTAGGTTTGGCCCTCTTTAAGTCAACCTAGTTTAAAACAAATGCCCAATTTACAAAGTGGAGTCTCTCAAATCCTCTTGGAGCACCTACAAGTATTCTATCAATGTTCTGTACCAAAAACTGGCAGCATATCTTTAACTTGGTCTTGCCAAAGTTGTTTTCCAGAACATTCCCCCATTGAAACTTGCTCCCCAACTCAGCACTGCAGGGAAGTCTACTGACCAGGATTCCCATGGCCTAGGTCTCAGAAAAACACAAGCCTCCATCTCAAAAATTACATATCTTTGAATTTTTTAAATTTTTTTTAAATTACATATTTAAACAGGTGGGGACATGGGGAGGCAGGGAGCTGTGTTGCTTTTTGTCTTCAAGTCCTGAAATTGATATTGCTTTGGGATTTCTGCTCTGCATGCTTTTTAGGGAAGAGACTTGTTTCCTTTGAAGGTGCCCAACCAAAAGCTAACTTAATGAAAATATATTTTAGTTTTAACAGGTCCACTATCACATCTCAGACCTATCAAAACATCACTCTCAGACCCATATACATTTAAATAAGCTAATTTATTAATATGCTGCTCTTCTGCTCACTCCAATTTAACCCCTTGTCTCTGTTACCCAAGCCTTTAATATAAATAGAGATTAGGTCACAATGACCCCAAATGATGGGGAGGGGGATCAAACTGATTAGTCTTAGTCTTTCCAATTATAATCTTAGCTCCACTCAAGGACTTACTGCTTAGATTTATCTCTGGTTGCCCTCACCAGAGCCTCTCGGGCCACCTGCTCCCTATGACTCAGCATCAGGCCACAGGTAGTGATATGGTATCTCCCCCAAAACTTGGAAGTGCTCCCCTTGATAAAATTCACTACTTCTAGTCCAACCCTCTGCTCTTCCTACCACTTAAACTGTTCCCTCAGAGCTTCTCCTGCCATGAACATCAGGGTTTCTCAACCTCAGCACTACTGACATTTGGGGCCAGATAATTCTTTGTTGCCAGGGCAGGGTGGGGGTGGGGTGGGGAATCCTGTCCTGTGCATTGTAGGATATTTAGCAGCATCTCTGGCCTCTACCTGCTAGATGCCAGTGGCGTCCCCCTCCCCCAAGCTGTAAAACCAACCAGTCTCCAGACTGTGGCCAGTTGTGCCCCCAGTTGAGAACACTGATCTACACTGACAGTAAGCCAGAAAACTACTAACTCATAAATTAAATGCTGGGATGTATTTAAGATGTTTAAGAGACCCTTCCTGGCCAGAGATTCACAAGGCGGTCTTCAAACCCTGCTGGTTCAGATTGCCAATTCTCTAGCACTGTCTGAGGGTACGCATTTCTTCAATTCCTAGTCGCTCCGGAGTTGAGACCCATAGGCTGACAGAAGTCTGGCTGGGTGGCCCAGACACCAATAATGGTCCCAAATGGTTATGATGACCTAATTTTATTCCTCTCTTCCTACTTTTTACCTGTAGCTTCTATCAGAAGATTAAAAGAATAAGACATACAGGCATTTGGGGACTTATGAAGGTAAGGCATGCCAGATTTTAGGATTTCCAGTCTTCTGGCTTCTTCCAAACTGACATCGTTTTAGTAGTGCTTATTTGATTGCAAACAACAGAGACTTAAGCAAAAGCTTATGTCCGGGGTGCACATGAGCTAAATTAGAATGTTATCAGGGCCTGAGGGAGCTCAAGGACAGGCTCCTTTTTTTCCTCTTGTGGATTTTATGGTCTCTTGCTCCCCACTCTCCACTCACGAGCTACATTCTCCTGCTCTCTCTTTACCGGCTTCCTCTGCGCACTGCCAGTTCTTGCCCCCTGAGCTTTAGCTTACACATGGCTTTGATGTTGGTCTTCCAAGGATCTATAAGAGGGTGAGCTTATTTAGCGTATAGATTATAATAGGTTTGAGGAGCCTTAAGTTTGGGAATAAGCCAAGGTCCTCCATATGTACCCCTAAGAAAGCCTGAAGAATGGTTTGCTTTTGTAAAGCCAACTAAGTCACATTAATTGGTAGTGAGGAGATTTTTAAAAATCCAATGTGTGGTTATAAAACTGCACAGCAGATGGCCCTATGTGCCCACAATTTGAAAGGCTAAAGACCAATCCCTGACAAGGATTTCTACATTTGAACTGTCTTTTCTCTTTTAGCGACCATTTATGCAGTTAAGTGACAATTCATGAACATAGATTGATAAGTTGCTGCTAAAAGCAGTTTGGCATTACGTATGCGGTGGACACAAGCTTTAGTGGAACATCCCCGGGGCCACATTTCTTCCTTTTTTTTTTTTTAAGATTTTATTTATTTATTTATTTGAGAG